TCCTCCGTCGCCCGCCGTCGTCGACCGTTGTCGGTGAGGCCCTCCTCCTCGTTTTCTCTCTCCCGCACCGTTTAGCCGCCGCGTCGCCGCCTAGCTGCGTAGCCGCCGCTCCTCCTCTAGCCGCCGCTCTCCGCCGCCGGTCGGTCGCCGTCGGCCGTCGCCTTGCGCCGCTGCCGCATGCGCGCCGCCGCCGCGTGAGCACTGCGCCGCCGGCGCCATGGTCGCCGGTTCGGCTTGCGCCGTGCCCGCGCGCCCCGGCCGCGAGCTCCCACCGCCGTCCGATCTACCCTTGGGTAGATCGGGGCCGTCGGTCCGGCCGCCACGTGGCGCCGCCGCCCCTTCCTTCTCCCGTGCCACTGACTAGTGGGCCCGCGCGCCGCCACCCCTTTCTCTCTCTCCCGGGCCGCTGACCGGTGGGTCCCGCATGTCGGCGCCGCACCCCTCCGTGCTGACGTCAGCCCTGGTTAATATTGCGCAATAAATGATTTAAGGTTTTTCTTTTATAGTAATAAACACAGTGAATCTTCTAAAAATCATAACTAATTCATCCGAGCTCCGTTTAATCCCATTTAAGTCTCAGTAAATCAAGGAAAATGTGTAGAATCCATTAAAAATGGTTTTGTTCTCTGTTTCAGTAGTCTTATAGCCTGTTTGCAATGTTTGCTTTGTATGTCGTTAGATTCCGATCCCTCCGACGCTCCGGTGTACTTCGAGATAGTCGCCGAGGTCCCTCCAGCAGCAGAGCAAGGCAAGTCATGCTTGTCACTTGATCATATTGATCCTATATTGCAAATGTCCTAATGTTTTCTTTCAAATACCGCATTTGTTTTGCAATATCACTATGGGATGGTTACCTATTGTTACAGCCATGCTTTTTTTGACACCATGCTCCTTTGTTAGCTTGGGTTATAACCTGATTAGAGTTAGGACTAGGGTTTGCTTAGCCATGCTTAGTTCAACTAGTTCACAATGGGGAAAATCATATTAATGTTTAGACTGTTAGTTCTAATGGTAATGTTGGATTAGTGACACCGCTTTGGTGTTGGTTAATTAAAATGAATCACATGGTGGGCTGTGGGTGCATGGTTTTGCTGGTCGCACCCATGGCAGTTAAGGACCGGTTCGCGGGATGCCCTGGAAGAACTTATCGTACTTACCACAAGCCAGCGTGGGCAACGGCTGGGCTTGTAGTGTAGCTTTCCTCTAGTCGACGCATCCAGGCAAGGGTGGGCGTGATGGAGCGGGGCGGGCCCTGCGACGGCCTCTGTCGCTTCCGGATTCACCTAGGCACGAGAGGGGACTGCCCGTTGCCCGCTGGGGACGGGGGTGAAACCTGAGGTGTGGTGTGCTTGGCTAGAGGGGGTTATGCGAAGGGTCCTGTCACGGCCTCTTTCCGGGATGTCGTGGTGGCATGTCGGCGCACGGAAACGTGTCGTGGGGCTGTGTCTTGTGGGTACAGTTGTACACCTCTGATCAGAGTAAAACTATTCGAATAGCCGTGCCCGCGGTTATGGGCGGTCAACCAGATTCACCGTGATTAGTCTCACCCTAGTGTAATCTGTTGAACTTGGATAGTTTAGGTGGATGGTTGGGCCTGTCGCAACGTGGGTTAGCGTTGGACAGCGGATGTTTAATACTGCTTAATTATTACAACTGTTTTCGCATTAAATTCCTGTTTATAAATGCCAGTATTTATGCAAATGAACCACTCTAGCTCTTCTTTGTTAATTCCCTGCATCATACCCCTATTCCGGTATGACTTGCTGAGTACAGTGGGTAGTACTCAGTCTTGCTCTACTTTTCCCAACCCCAGAGGACGGGTATGTGTCAGATGAAGGTTTCCCCGAGGAGTAGGCTTCGTCCGTGCCGTCGAGGATGCCTGTGGAGTGGTGTTCCCGCTGCAGTTTAGTCAAGGCTTAGCTCCAGTTTCTTTTGTTTTCCGCTGCATTTTTTGTAAGACTTTTATGATGTTTGTAAGACGTGGATCTGAATGTCAACATTGTCGTTTGTGTACCCCGGCTGGTCCTGGACGGGGATTTTAATGCACATTCTGCTTGGAATTCTATTCGGGAATTTCTGGGCGTGACATCAAGGCACGGCATGCCTCGCACCATCTCCTTGGCACTGAGCTGCTTCAGGGCCTCGAAGTGGAGGTGCCCGAAGCGCTCGTGCCACTGCCACGCCTCGTCGTCCCGACGAGCGGCGAGGCAAACTGGTTGTGCGACCTGCGCGCTGAGGATGTAGAGTCGATTAGTGCCTCTGGTTACCTTGGCAAGAAGGTGACGACGGCGATCCCAAATCCTCATGAGTCCGTCCTCGACCAACACGCGTGAGCCGTTCTCATCCAGCTGTCCCACGCTGATGATAGAATTCCTCAACGCGGGGATGTAGTAGACTCCGGTGAGCAGCCTGTGCTCACCGGACTTGGCGGTGAAGGTGACGGAGCCAACACCCTTGATCTCCACGCCGGAGGCGTCCCCGAACTTGACGGAGCCTCGGACGCTGGAGTCGAACTCGGTGAAGAACTCCCGTCGGCCGGTCATGTGATGGGTGGCGCCGGTGTCAAGGTACCACCCATCAGCCTTGTCGTTGCTGGAGCCGTTGCAGAGGGAGACGAGTACCTTCGGCTCATCAAGGTGGAGGAAAGCCGCTGCGGCCGGTGCCGCTGGAGGTAGCTCGATGCTTGCGTGAGCCAGGAGCAGAGCCGGCTCTTCCTCCTCCACCCGTGCGACGTGGGCCTGGCCGCGTCGTGGCTGTCGACAGTCTTTGGCCCAATGGCCAAGCTTGCCATAGTTGCGGCAGGCGTCGTCTCGTGCCGGCTTGTGGTTGCCGGTGGCAATGCCCTGGGCGCCTCTGCGGGCGCCACCCTCGGCACGTCTTCGCGCCCACCGTAGCTGGACACCTCCCCGCGCCTTGCGCGGCTTACGGCCGCCTGTCGGGGAAGATGACTCCCCCTTCCTCCCGTCACCCTGAGAGGCCTCCCACTGCTCCCTAGTGAGATGGAGCTTCCCGCCGATGGTGATGGGCCCCGAGAGAGGCTGTGGCTCATCACCATCGACGACCTTGAGGCGACCTAACGCCTCCTCGATCGACATCGTGGAGAGGTCCAGCAGAGATTCGATCGAGCGAGCGATCTGTCTGTACTTCTCAGGGACGCAGCGGAAGAGCTTCTCGACAGCTCTCTCCTCGTCGTAGGTGTCGTCGCCGTACTGCACCATTTTCTGCAAGAGAGTGTTGAGACGGAGAGCAAAGTCATCAACATCCTCACCTGGCTTGAAGGCCAGGTTCTCCCACTCCTTGCGGAGTGCCTGCAGTGTGGACTTGCGGGCGCGGTCACTGCCGATGCGTGCCGCAGCGATGGCGTCCCAGGCCTCCTTGGCAGTCCGCTTCTGGGAAAGCGAGAACTGCATCTCGGGCGGGACTGCAGCGATGAGGGCATCCAGTGCCCGCCGATCCTCGTCGTAGTCGACGTCACTGTACCGGACTGCCTCCCACATGTGCCACACCTGGAGCCTCACCCTCATCACCGCGGCCCACTCGATGTAGTTGGTTTTGGTGAGAGTAGGCCACCCACCGCCGGGACCAAAGTCCCTGACCACCGTCTGGACACCGTGGTGACCATGGCGCCGATCAGGGGAGAGAGAGCCGTGCTGCCTGCGAGGGCCGCGTGCGAGCTCCGGGCTGCCGCCGGCACGCCTGCGCCCGTCTGGGTTCCCGTCTGCGGACGCGCGGTCCCTTGGGCCGCCGCCGCCGCCGTGGAGGTGGGCTGCTGCCCACCGCTCTGCTCTCTCCCGTGCCCTTCCTCTTGCCAGCTCCTCAAGCTCCCTGTCGGCGGTGATGTCGCCGGCAATGGAGCCGTTGATGCTGCTGCGCAAGGTCTCAACCTCTACCTCCGCCGCACGTGCCGCATCTTCCGCCGCCTCCGCCTCCGCCTCCGCCCTGGCTGCTGCCAACTCCGCTGCCGCCAGTCTGGCCGCCCTCGCTGCTGCTGCAGCGGTCTGAGCCGTTGCTCGCCTGCGCTCTTCTGCTGCGGCGAGCTCGGCGTCCTGCTGACGCCGAGTGCTCGAGGCGACCGAACGCCGAGACCGAGCGTCGGACATGGCGCACCTCCGGGGGCTGCTGCGTGGAGAAGGGGAAGGGAAAGGGGAAGGAGGAGCAACCGGTGCTGCTGCTGCTGCTGGCTGAGAGCTCAACCGAGCTTGGGAAGGGGTGGAACAAGAGATGTTTAGCCTACAGGAAAGTGTGGCTCTGATACCAGATGTTAGAATTTCAATGTTTACTCTCATTGAGAAGAGGATGGCACTTGAGATGGGGCAATTTTCTGGTTTTCTTCATTCACAAAACACAAAAGCCATACCTTCCCGAGGGAGGTTGGATACATATATATAGCCATAGCTGGCTGGATGGCTGCTAGCTAATTGCTGCCCACACTAGTCTAAAATTTGAACGCAATGCTGTCCTAGAGAGCATCCAAACTGAATAAAGCATAAAGGAGATGCTAGATGCTGTCCTAGGGATGCTAAAAGCAAAACCGAAAGATGCTAAAAGCAAAACTGAAAGGATGCTGTCCTAAAAGGGGGAAAAACAACCTAAAAGCAAGAGAAGGACCACAAGGACCAAAGACCACAAGGCTTATTCCATCATCGAGCAGCATGACAGCGACCGGTGGCAGGGAATCGGCGAAAAACAAAGCTCTGTAACCAGAGAAGAATGTTACTGGACCGCATCTATAAATTACAGATTGGTAAAAGTTGCAAATTGAAGTGAACTTCGATTGAACTTACCCTTCTAACCTCCTGACAGGCACACCATTATCCGTGTTCAACATTATATATATATATATATATATATATATATATATATATATATATATATATATATATATAGACCAACTACAAAACTTTGGGAAACATGCTCGAGTTTTACACCAGTGCGTGATTTTGCTTAGATAAAAAGCATTAACAAAAGATGATCATAGGAACTATAGGTCATGTCAAAAAAGGGAGAAAAGAGAGACTAAAATATATTTTAATAGCAGTAGTTCATATTACAATGTAAAATTGCAGATAATGAAAGGTTCCCTCTGTGTTGCCTACGCAAATAGCAGAGTAAAACAGGTATTACGAACATAATAAATTACCAAGGATTAGATGAAAAACGATGTGAGCAGTGGGACAATCAGATGGATGAGCTAATTGATTTTTTTTTGTTTTCCTTGATTATTCAAGCATCACAATTGCACAAAATGGCATGGCTATGTGATTTTGTATATTCAGCTTTCAGCTAGCCGATTAGGTACTCTTTCAATGATTATGCCTAATGGATGTAGTACTAATTGACCCAGAAGACATGTGCTTCTACATGTAGTAACTCACCACAACCAAACAAAGAAAAACATGAGGGAAAAAAAATCTAAAACCAAGGGCATTTTCCTATGCATGTATCAGATGCTGATGCAAGTATCAAGGAAAATAACTTTTCTCTAAATAAAATCACAAACTTCATTTAAGTCAATATAGCATATAACCAGCTGAAGCATATCACATATAATCAAAAAGCCAAAAACACATTTAGGAATTCAGCAAACTGTTACCTCTCCACAGAGCAACAAAAATATTACTTTCTCATTTAGAAGTACAACAGCAATCAAAAGATATGACACAGCAAAAGCAACCGATCCCTTAATCATATTCTTCAACAAAAGCATAACTAATTCTGTTAGTGAGAAGGGTTGCCACCCAAATGCAGGACTAATTGTAGTCTTGGACAAAGCAATATAAACTAAAACAGAATCACATCCTGCACTGAAATGAACTTCTCATAGCAAAGATGAACAAACAAAAATTGGATCCACCGGCCTCTGAAAACATGCATCTCAACACAAGAACCAAAATTACATCAATTATTCATGAGTATGTGCCTCTCACCCTATGGGCTGACAAACTAATCAAATCAACAGAGCATAAACCAAAACATACTCAAATCAATCCACCGTTCATATTTCCAAATCACTCAGCCACCCGCTCAAAGCGCACATCTCGTCATGAGGACAACAGAAACGAGCACAAATCAATCCACCGCTCCAATCGCACATCTCGCCATAAGTACAACAAAAGGAAAACCCAAATCAATCCACCGGTCGAATCGTGCCAAACTTGCCGCGAAGGAATCAGACAAGTAGGAGAAAAAGCACGCACGTAGTCATTAAGCACGAGCCCCAGCACATGACCAACTTGGTATTGCGAACCAGGAAAAGGGAACTCGAATAAAAAAAGGCACAAGAGACTGGGCAATCCAACTCAGAGAAGTAAAAGAAACCGAAACCCAGGTAAGGCTGGCACGAAACCCAAATCCAACCGAACCAGATTGGATGCGGCGAGACGCAGCGGCCTCCTGGACCGGCAGTTGCTCCGGTAGGCGATCGATGATGGCGAGATCCCTCTACAAGCCACACCAGAAAACCAGATAGATTGGACACGAAATCGAAAAGTGGCAGGGGAACGAAACGAACTGACCGGGCAAAAGTGGACGGCCGAGACATCCCACCGGCGGCGAGGCCTCTCGGCGAGCAATGCGGCAGCTGACTCCGGCGGGGGCGCAGCCGATCCGGACCCGTAGAGATGGGGCTAGGGTTTGGGGCTAGAGCGAAACTGGATTTGTGTGGGAAGGTGGGATCTTTCCGACCGTTGCGTTGAGCGCTCACAAACCACGACTCATTTCTTGTAGCGAAGGCTTCCACCCTCCCTGACAGGTGGGGCTATTGCTGGAGAGGGAGGCAAGAGGCAGAGGCTTCCACCCTCCCTCAATTGCAAAATGGATGCATATTCTTTATTTTAAAAAGTAATCACCTCGTTCTTTTTCTGAGTTCTGAGGTAATTGCAAAATCATTTATGGATGCATACTCAGGTTGGAATTCAGAGAGATGTTGCAATTTTTATATTTAAGCATACTACTCCGTCAGGTTGGAATTGTCCCTTGTCCGTTTCGTCCGTGTGCGATTTTTAGTCCGTCCGTCCGCGCTAATTTTTTCGTCCGTAAGAGATACGCGCTAATTTTTTTTTTACATGTCCGGTTTTCTTTCTACCCCGTTCTAGGATTCCGGATCCATTTAATCCAATCCAAAAGGAGAAAAAGAATCACAAGTTAAAAGTTAAGAAATCAAGCCGATGATTCCAACAAAAAAATCACATAATAATAACAAAAAAAAAAGCCACACCAGAAAACCAGGATAAACGCTTGCGTCACCATCTCTCCTTGATCTAGCGCACCTCTTAAAATATATTGTCGATCCTAGAAATTGACAGTGTTGCAACGGGAAAAGGTTGATGAAAGAGAGAGTGTGTGGTCAATAATAGAAGAGTGAAGCAGCAACGTGAAAAGTGAAATGGTCAGTTCAAGCTAAGCGAAGCAGAATTGAACGACATACCAAGAAAAGCAAATAACGACATACCAAGAAAAGCAAAGAATACAGAAGGAGTCGTATAAGAAATCTTTTTAAGAAAAACTTGCATGGTAACTTGAGATGAGAGTTGGACTCCTAATTGTAGCTCATGATTTTCTAAAAAAAAAAATCGAAGCGAATTCTCCTAGTGATTTTTACCCTAGCTAAGCCGTATAACAATAATAGTAAAACTAAAATAGTCTTCACCCATTACAACGCACGGGTATTTTTTCTAATCCAAGTTTTATATGTCATTGTATCATCACATATTCACAATGCATGATAATAGTATTGAATTTCAAACTGTTATAGAGAATATGTGCATAAATTATCTATCGATCTATGCACAAGCTTGTTATATCCATGGCCATCATCACTCATCATTTATCAAATCCGATGCCCCACACCATTTGCGTGCAAACAAACGTCCCTGATTTCCTTTTCCTATGATCTCACTATCCACACATGTACCTCTCTCACCACGTGATCTCCTCCCCCTCCATTAGTGGCCCAGAATCACTCGCCTCTCCCTCTCAGCCACTGTTGTCAACCCCTCGCCTCGCCATGCAGCCTGATCAGGTGATCCCATTGTCAACGAGAGGTGATGTCATCTAACTGCCGCACCCCCCCCCCCCCACTCTAATTTTCCTCTTCTACCACTTCTGCTGCAGGAAGGCAAACTTGCGAGAGAGATCTATCAACACCGTGCCTTCCTTTCCAACATTGTTGCCGTTGCCCACACCATGCCATTTTTTCCTCTCGAGTCACCACCACCATCCCGGTTTGCAAATTTTCGTATCATTTTCACCCCGAATAGCTTGACATAATCCTATAATACTATACAAGTGATTCCCACTTAGTGCAGTTATTAGGATTTTCCTGAGTTCTGGTGAAGCCACGTCACCCTTTTAATCCCAACTGTTCGTTCGATCGAGATGGTTCCAACGGGTTCGATGTGTTCTATCCCACAGCTCTTTTGCCTCCCTCCACCGAGCCACCAAATCTTCCGCCGCCACCACCGGGCGCGGTCCTCTCCCACATTGCGCGCGCGACTTCTCTCCTCCCCACCAGCCCCCGCGCACGCCAGGCGCGGGCCCGCCGCCGGTCGCTCTCCCCACGCGACCGCGCACGGTTCCTCCCCAATCGGGAGCGCCAAGCGCGGGCCCGCCGCCGGCCGCTCTCGCTTCTCCTCGCATCCCCGCGCCGCTCTCATCCACCCCCCTCTCCCTGGGCGCTTCTCCTCCTCCATCTCTCCGCTTACTCTAATTAAATAGATCACAAATAAATGAGAATAAGTAACTTCTTAATCCATTGGCTAATAATTTTATACTAACGCGATCAAATGGCTTAGGATTGTTGATGACATGGCTTCATGCATGTACTTATTTTCGTACTATTTAGGATATATAAATAAGCCAAATCAAAGGGTGGTCCATATGCAAATCTACTAAATCTAAAGCTCAATATGCAATCATGCCACATCATCACCCACTAGCAATAAATACATATTTAACCTCATGCAAGCATACAACATCATCTACAATTTATTTAATTGTACATATCAACATACAAGCATATCCAATCATCACCCCTCACATCATTTGCACAATGTTTTAACAAATCTATCATTTTTATAATATTTAACATATACTTATCAATATGTTTCGCATTAAAGCGTGGGTATCATTTATTTGTTTGATGATAAGTACTGATAAACCCTGATGTTTCATTATTTTTTTCCTTTTTCTCCTAGCTTGATTGTCAAAAAAAAATATTGAGAATTACTTAGTAATTCCCGCAGCAAAGCACGGGGAATCACCTAGTATTTATAATGTCAGGCAACACATCTGCATATTTAGCCTAATGCAAGCATACAATGTCATCTATAATTTATTTAATTATGCAAATCAACATGCAAACATATCCAATCATCACCTTTCATATCATTTGCACAATATTTTATCAAATCTATACTTATCAATATGTTGAAAAAATATATTGAGAATTGCTTAATTCCCGCAGCAAAGTATGGGAATAACCTAGTATTAACCAAATGTCCACGCCCATGAAAGCGAATTCACAATTTACAATCTCTAAGCCCTTGTGCAAAAAAATCAAACACAATACAAACACATGCACTCACAAATGCGCGCACAGTCATACCTGAAAACACACACACACGCACACATCTTAACTTCTAAGAGGTTTGCTAAAAAGAGAAATAATGTCAACAACATATACGGTTACACATCTGATTCAGAAGATAAGGACCCACAAATTGGCTTGGCAGGGTGGTCTAGGAACAAAGAGACTATTGTTTGCCAATGGGTAAAAAATACTGGGAAGGAAGAAAGATATGACTTTGATATTAACAAAGCTGATAGGATATTTGACTTATTGCTTCAAGAAAAACATACTCTATTCAGCTTCTAGCAGGGCATGTCTTTCCATCGGCTGAAGAGTTGAAGAAAAGGATATACTGCAAGTGGCATCATACAGGATCTCATAATACTAATGAGTGCAAGTTGTTAAGACAGCAAATCCATCCGGCTATTGAATAAGGCAGAATCAAGTTTGATGATGGCAAGAAGCCGATGAAGATTGATGGACATCCTTTCTCAGTCAACATAGTGCATACTAGGAGTAATGATCAAGCCGATAAGAGAGGATATCGGACGAACAAGTTTAATTCTACTAGGATGATTAACAAATATCAAAGGAAATAAGAGAGAGAAGATCAAAGGCAGTATCAAGATGATGGCTATTGTTTTGATCCTCATTGGCGGTGTGAAATTTTCAGATTTTGCTAGAATGAGGGTACGGGATTGCCATTAATTGAAGATTGCCTAGGGTGCAATGATCCTAATGTGAGATATATTGGGAATTCTAGTAGACAAAAATAATGTTAGAGATGAGAATTGACCAATTCAGAAAAAGTTACCTATGCATGAGAGGTTGGGGCCAATTCATCAAGATTATTTTGAGGAAAAAGCTGAAGATAAGCCTAGAGTCAGAAATCCACAATGTTGTCCCTATGGTATTTTTACAAAGAACAAGAAGAGACGAGTTCAAAGGATGAGAAATAGGGAGCAGATGCAGGAAATTGAAGAGGAGATTGATAATCGGCTGAAGCGCACTAAGGAGTGGTGGGTTAAGAGCAAAGTGGTGCCAGCCGATGAGGTCAGAGCCGATAAAACAAAAGATCAAGCATCTTCTTCAATAAACATGGTTTTTGTGCTACCAGCAGAGTACAACGCAAAACAAGCTGGTGACGATGTTTTTGAAGAATCTCTAGCCAAGTTAGTATTATCACCATAGCAAGCTATTTTTGAGAAGCCTAATGGGACAGAGCATCGGCATCTTAAGCCATTATACGTCAACAGTTTTGTTAATGGGAAGCCAACGTCCAAGATGTTGGTTGATGGAAGAGCAGCTGTGAACTTGATGCCATATACTCCATTGCTGAGGATCAAAACCGATCAAGAATTTGTTTGGGGGGAGAAGCAAGGAGAGCTTTAGATAGTATAAGGAATATTTGAGTTCTCCTCCAGTTTTGATACCACCACAGAAAGGGGTACCCTACAAGCTATATTTATCAACCGATGAAAAAACGATCGGCTCTGTGTTAATCCGAGAGATTGAAGGCAAGGAAAGAGCTATATTTTATCTAAGTAGAAGACTTTTGGATGCTGAGACAAGGTATACCCGAGTGGAGAAATTGTGCTTAAGTCTATATTTTTCATGTACAAGGTTGAGGCATTATCTACTTTCAAATGAGTGCACAGTGGTTTGCAAAGCCGATGTGGTCAGGTACATGCTAACGGCTCCTGTGTTGAAACGGAGGATTGGAAAGTGGATTTTGGATTTGACGGAATTTGATCTAAGGTATGAATCAACTAAGGCGGTAAAAGGACAAACGGTAGCAGATTTCATTGTGGAATACCGCAATGATTCACTTGGATATGTTGAGTGAGTACCTTGGACTATATTTTTTTATGGGTCAGTGTGCACTCATGTTTGAGGTATCGGCTTAGTGATTATATCGCCTTGGGGGGCAATTTTTGAGTTTGCCTTTACAATTAAACTATATTATACTAACAATCAAGCAGAATATGAGGTAGTATTGAAGGGATTACAATTGTTGAAGGAAGTTGAAGCTGATGCTATTGAAATTATGGGTGATTCATTGTTAATAATCAATCAATTGTCTGGAGAGTATGAGTACAAGAATGATGTCTCGAGAGTTTATAATGAAAAATGTCAAGAGTTAATGAAAGAGTTCGAGATGGTTTCTATGAAACATATTCCCAGATAACAGAATGTTGAAGCCAATGATCTAGCTCAAGGTGCATCTGGATACAAGCTGATTTTGAAAGATGTAGAGATTGAAATTGTTGCTATACAAGCCGATGATTGGAGGTATGAAATGTTTGAATATTTAAAAAATCCTTCTCAATCGACATAAGGAAGTTGAAGTATAGAGCTCTTAAATATGTTGTGTTGGATGATGATCTTTATTATCGGACAATTGATGAAGTTTTGCTTAAGTGCTTAAGTTTGGAAGAAGCCAAAGTGGTTATGTGTGAAGTGCACGAAGGAATATGTGGAACTTTCTTGGGCGACCACTCGCTTGAAAAAAGAATTTTCAGCAAAATAAGTTCAAAAAGAAATTTCTAAAGCCCTAGCTAGAAGTGGCCACCGCTCCCGTGCCCAGCGAATGTCATCCATCACTCCTGTGCCCGGTAGCCATCGCCACCGCATCTCCTATGCCCGGTGACTCTCGTCATCACCGTCGCTACTGCCCTCCCTGGTGTCCCTGCCGCCGAACCTACACCTCACATTGCCACCGCTGGAGGAACTGCGCGCGAGAGGGAGATGGGCGAATCTATCGGTGACATATGGGGCGGGCGGCCGGGGGCCTCTCCCCCTCCCATGCGAATCCATGTGCGAGGGAGAGAAAGAGGCAGTGGGATCCAAGAGGGAGGGGGAGAGTTTGCCACTCCCGTCGCGACCTCCGACGGATCATCTGTCCTTGAGGTTGCCGCCCCTCCCTATCGTCGTTGTCATCTCCCTTCACTACAAGAAATATGACCTTCTGTGACGAATTCCTCATGACGTCGGAGCTATTCGTCACTAGCACATTCCATTTTATGACGATTAGTATGAGATGGAGTGGCTTAGTGACGAAAAAAGATGTTCGTCGTTAATACCAACTAGAAATCGTCATAAAGTTTTTCAATGGGACATCGTGACGAATATTAATTTGTCATAAAGGGTACAAAGCAAACGTCATAAATTTATATAATGCATTTCTAGAAAAAATATATTAAAGTTAAAGTAATTTAATCAAGTGAATTAATGAGGAAACTAAAATTTTCCTTTAAAAATCATGGTCGGAAATATTTTTCTAATATTCTACATGGTCGAAATAATTATCTGAAATTTTCCGTGAATATTCGATACTCAATAACTAATTTTAATACCACAAAATTCATTTAACCTATTAAAATAAATGAAAAACAAATTGAAATTCCTCTCTCTGTCCTTGGGCCTTTTTCGGCCCAAGTATTACTCTCTCCCTCCCTCAGCCCGCAGCCTCTCTCTCCCTCCTCCCTCTTCGGGCCGCCAGCCCAGCCCTTTTGTTCCTCCTTCACCGAGAAGTCTATATTGCCTCCCTCCTTTTAATTCAAATAATTTTTCGGATAGTAAATGATTTCAAATAAAAAATTACCAAAAACAAAGTTATATAACTTATCAAGATCTACAACTTTTGTTTTGGTCATTTTGCTATATGACTTTGTTTCAATAATTTGAATTTGAGTTTCAAATTATGACAACTTCAAACAATGTTTTCAAATAATAATGATTTCAACTGAAAAAGTCATCAATAAAAAAGTTGTATAACTCATCAATATCTACAACTTTTGTTTTGGTCATTTTGCTATATGACTTTATTTGAATAATTTGAATTTGAATTTCAAATTATGACAACTTCAAACAACATTTTCAAATAATAAATGATTTCAATTGAAAAAGTCATCAACAACAAAGTTGTATAACACATCAATATCTATAACATTTATTTTGGTCATTTCTTCATCCGACAAAGTGATAGTAACATTGTTTCTCATAGTTTGTAAAACCATATAAGAGATATGTAAAATTTGTGAACAATGTTACTATCACTTTATCGGATGAAGAAATGACCAAAATAAAAGTTATAGATATTGATGAGTTATACAACTTTGTTGTTGATGACTTTTTCAATTGAAATCATTTAGTATTTGAAAATATTGTTTGAAGTTGTTATAATTTGAAATTCAAATTCAAATTATTGAAACAAAGTCATATAGCAAAATGACCAAAATAAAAGTTATAGATATTGATGAGTTATACAATTTTGTTGTTGATGACTTTTTCATTTGAAATCATTTAATATTTGAAAATATTGTTTGAAGTTGTCATAATTTGAAATTCAAATATTATATAGGTCAATCAAACTCAGATGGAGAAATAACCAAAATAAAATTAGTAGATCTCAATAAGTTATACAACTTTGTTTTTGACAATTTTTTCACATAAGTTTATTTAGTATGATTTTTTGTGTGTTACTTCACAGTGGTACAATAAAATAAAAAGAAAAAAAGGTTAAAAAGAGATGGGATGAAAGAAGGCCTGTTATGGGCCAGCCCATTTGCTCTTTTCTCGCTGAGAAGTCTATTCTTTCTCCCTCCTTTCAATTAAATTCAAAATATTAAAACTTCTGTTCAAATTTTATCATACTAAATGAATTTATGTGAAAAAGTTATCAGAAACAAAGTTGTATAACTTATTGAGATCTACTTATTTTATTTTGGTTATTTTTCCATCTGAGTTTGATTGACCTATATAAAATTTGAATTTCAAATTTTGACAACTTTAAACAATATTTTTAAATACTAAATGATTTCAACTGGAAAGGTAATCACAACAAAGTTGTATAACTCATCAATATCTACAATTTTTGTTTTGGTCATTTTGCTATATGACTTTATTTCAATAATTTGAATTTGAATTTCAAATTATGACAACTTCAAATAACATTTTCAAATACTAAATGATTTCAAATGAAAACGTCATCAACAACAAAGTTGTATAACTCATCAGTATCTATAACTTTTATTTTGGTCATTTCTTCATCCGACAAAGTGATAGTAACATTGTTTACACAAATTACATATCTATGTTATAGTTTATAAACTATATAAGAGATATGTACATTTTGTGAACAATGTTACAAATCACTTTCTCGGATAAAGAAATGACCCAAATAGAAGTTATAGTTCTTGATGAGTTATACCACTTTGTTATTGATGACTTTTTCAGTTAAAATCACTTAGTACTTGTAAATGTTGCTTGAAATTGTCATAATTTGAAATTTAAATTTAAACTGTTCAAACAAAGTCATATAAAAAAATGACCAAAACAAAAGTTGTAGATCTTGATAAGTTATACAACTTTGTTGTTGACAACTGTCCTATTTGAAATCATTTACTATCCGAAAAATTATTTGAATTTCTTCTATTTTAAAATTCAAATTTTATATAGTTCAATTAAACTCGGATGGAGAAATGACCAAAAGAAAATTGGTAGATCTCAATGAGTTCTACAATTTTGTTTTTGACAACTTTTTCACATGAGTTCATTTAGTATGATAAAAGTTGATTCGAAGTTTTAATATTTTGAAACTATTTTTTTTATAGAAAGATAGGGCGCCAAATTTTTTTGGGCAGGTGCCAAAAATTTTCAGACTCAAGCCACTTCGCGGTCAAGCCAAACATTTTCAAGGTGAATTGACCGTTTTATCCAAACAATTCAATAACTACTATGACGCACTAGGGTTATTTTGGTAAAACCGCGTTGTGATTGCTTCATATCCCTGGTTCCCCATACCCTAGCCAATCCCAAACCAAATCCACCAAAACCCAGCCGCCATCGCCCCCTTCCTCGCCACCGCCATCCACTCTACCACCGATCTCCTCACCCACCACCATCGACGGCGACTACCTCCACCGTTGCAATGTCCCACCGTGACTCCTCCATTGGCTCATCCACTGCCACCGCGTCGTCCACCACCGGCGGTGGCCTCTCCTCCCTGTTCCCCAACCTCGACGTCCCCCTCTCTTCCCCTCAATCCACCGATCCACGCCGCCACAGCCCCCCTCTTTTCCCCTCTCTCCATCGCTCTCGCTCCCCCTCAACAGCCGCCGCATCTTTGTCAGGACAGCGACACTCGCTGCCCTCCGCTCACTCTTGTCCGGGCCGCCCCCGTTCTTCGCCTGCGCGCCCGCCTCTGCGCCGCCAGATCACCATCGTCCGGAGTCGCCGGGGCCGTTGTCCTCACCTGCCAAGCCGATCTCCTACGCGTTGCCGGTGGGATTTGCAACAGGGATGGCGTCGTGCCCTGCTCGTCTCTCCACAGCAGTCGGCGCCGATCCCCTGCCTCTCCCACGCCTTGCGTTGGCCTGGCACCACCCCCTCGCCTCTGCATCGCCTTGCATCGGGCTGCTCCTCCGTCGGCAGATCCCAACGCCGACATATCAAGGACTCCGCCTCGCTGCCGTCAAGGTGGTGGAGGTGGTTGCCTCCGGAGTCCCTGTGATGACGGCAACGCAGCTCGGCCACGTTGATTGCTTGGATGCGGCTCAGCAAATGCCTGGCGGGTAGCGATTGTTGCGCTCAGGTTTTCTTTCTTTGTTGCTAATACTGGGTCCTTATTTCTTTCTTTGCTTACTAACTTCTGGATCCCTATATCTTCTGACTTTTTTTTTTTGCAGCAGTCGAGCCTTTGGGCTGCCTTCCTCTTCCCCATTTTTCTTTACTAGTGAGCGTGCACGTGCAAGGCACGTCATCACGTCGATACCTATTGAATGGAATCAAATTAGAAGGAGACTGCTGAGTCTTGATACTAATAAACATATACTTACTCATAAATATGTGATTACTCCATATAGCTCTAAAAAGAAAAATACGTACTCATAAATATGTGATTATTTCATATAGCTCTAAAAATAAGTTGGATAATTCGTCACGATTGCTTTCAATTGATCAAACACGTTGGAGTCTCCAATTTGAACAAAATTCTTTCTAAACTTGAACTCAAATTCCTTTACAATGGAACCGACGTCAAACATCAACTTTCAAGTATCCTTTCATTATTTTACAAATATTACAATTTAGGCAGGCTGAAAAGAAAATTAGAGACCATTTATCTATAATATGCTTGTTTTGTGAGAAAAAAATCAACCGATTTTCAATTGATCTACACCGCGCTTCTGAGTTCTTACATGTATATCCTAACGGCATAGATTGGCCGATGGCAGCATAAGCATACAAAAGGACATATACAACTATAATTACACTAAATAAATGGCATAACATGAACTATTTTTTTTGATTTAATAAGATTAACAGTCTCATTTCCAGCATGTGCTTGCTGCCGACGTTGTTGGTTGACTGCTTCCTCATACTGAAGTAGACCTGGTAGCTCAGCAAGACTGCAACGCCCTGCTCGCTGAACACCCGAAGTCAGTGCATAAAGACCATATTTTCTCGTGTTAGTTCGTGAGATCTTGTCAGTTTTCTGAATTAAGCATTTGTCAGTAAGTTCAGTTCATGCCATCTTCTGAAGTTTCTAAATTTATCATCTTTAGCTCAATATTACCTCTGATGAAACAAGACGTGGCTTCATAAGCTGCTGCCCCTCCACACGCAACTGCTATGGAACCACGACAAAGTTTTCTGTCACCTGTTATCCTGGTGAGAACTGTCTCATTTTGGAACTGAATCTAGCAAGGACAGTACTTTGGACCTGTAGCGCGCATATTATGAATTTTGATACTAAAACTTCTTACCGAGCAACAACTCATTGTAGGCCCCTGAGATGTTGCTTTGCAAAGTCCTCATGTAGATATATATATATATATACAAGTTACAAAATGAAATTATTTTGATTAACAGTATATGCACTACTGAAATAGTGATAGCAGAGCACTATATGAATTGGCATTAGCACTCCAAATATTATGTAGTGAGTCAGGCAACATGATGTACCAAAGTTAATTAGAACTTAATCGAGATTCCTTATGAATTACGATGTGATTCAGATATTCTATTAGAACTTAAGTGAAATTCCTCTTATATGGTCAATATTCTTAACCTTCCTGTGGTTGATCCAATAACTGAAGGACATGCATGTAACGTTGGCGTATGTGTTGCTCAATTCGTGTGTGTGTGTGTGTGTGTGTGTGAAGAAGGGGGCCTTTTAAGATCATATGCCACCAAACCACTACTGAATACAGCACCGAATAGAAAAATGTAGACATATATGCATATTTGCTGCATTATTTATCCAATGAGAGTAGATAATTCGATATACAGCTCAAGTTATTAATATAAGAAGCGGAGCTATTTACCTGAGATGCTATTGGACATCTGCCATTTGACAATGCAAAGCACCAAGGTGACTTGATAATTCCTGCCGAACAATTGATTTAATCAGCATCTGACTTGATTGCTATCATAATTACTTGGACCACTTTCATATTCTACTTACCTTCCTGGGTTCTTGTTAGTGATCCAGAAACATGTGGAGAGCTGACAATATAGATTTATATCTGCATAGTACAATACCAAACAAAAAGAAAAGGCAGCATGCCTAAAGAATTAGAGGACTCTGCAAGAAAGATTCAGATGGATCATGAGAGAATGGCGTTACGAATCTGCAAACTTATCAAAGGTCAATACATGATTTGCAACTGATTCGTTGAGAGAAAGATGAGGAACTGCAAAAGGGTGACATGCATATTTATGATCGGGGATGGCAATGAGAAAAACCTGGACTGTTTGGAGCTCTGAGCTTGAGCCTACTGCCAAAAATTTTAGCTTAATCAACAATGTAACTATGTAAGGGCTAAGCCGGGGAACAGAAAGCTAGTAAACTTATTTCACTGCACATGCCCTTTAAAGTTTAGGATGGTGAACTGTAAGAAAAAAAATATTCTACCTGATTCTTTACTATCACTCTGACTGACTGCCTGCCTATAGATGTACTCCCTCACAGCCTATGTAAGAAAAAAAATATTCTACCTGATTCTTTACTATCACTCTGACTGACTGCCTGCCTATAGATGTACTCCCTCACAGCCTATAGAAGTTCAAGTACAGTACACGACCATCTAAGCTGATTAGGCACTACAAGCATTTGGGCATAACTACAGAGCTTAGTTTTCCAAGCTTCCTTAACAAGTCATTTGGGCATAACTACAGAGCTTAGTTTTCCAAGCTTCCTTAACAAGTCAATTGATACAACAGTCAGGGTTTCACTTATCAATATGTAAAATCTATCGGAGGGTACCGATAAACGGGATTATCGGAAATATCGGAATTTTATCAGCGATACGAAAAAAAGTTCGGACAAAATTTATTAAAATTTGGCTGAATTTGTGCATGAAATCAAGTAGATTGTATCTAGATCATTTGGTATAGAAAATAACATATATAGTATGTAAATAACCAGTACAAGTGCAAAATATCATATAGGCAGTACAAGAACACAATGTCACGCATGCATAGTCCATTAGATTGAGTTGAACATGACAGATTGTGTCAAAAGAGGGTCATATATGCCAAGAGAGGGTCACATAGCCCATAACATCTCTAAATTGGCCCATCCTGACATAACATTCAAATGAGTCTATAGTCCCAAATATCACCAGTTTCTACCAAAATACACAAGTCTGGAGTCTGAAATATTACAGGCAGTACATATGCCAAAAGAGGGTCACAGCCCCAAAACATCTCTAAATTAGCCCATACTGCAGCATACAACCATACATACAAGCATAAGAACCAATGGGCAAAATAGAGGAAGGGCATATGCTCAAATTCTGGTCCAGTACATCTATCCATAGTCCTTGGAGGCTTAGATCACTACAAATGTTGACATATGCTCAAATTCAGTCACTATATTGGATTTAAATGGTTATATAATACAGATGAGGTCAGGTTTAGCTATACCTTTTTTTTTTAGAAGTTTTGTCTAAAAGAACCTTGACAGAAACTTTCCTTTTCCTTGTTGATTTTGGGTGGAGTGGGGCTGGTTGCTCACCTGCAAAATAAGATGTAAGTCTTATTGGTACCCATTTAAATTTAAATGTTACATACACAATTGATTCATTATTTATCAAGCACACATGTATTACCAACAGGTGCTCCCCTAGCAGTAGGTTCACCATGATCCTCCTCACTACCAACATCAACAACAGCATCGACATCATCTGTGAGATGATAAAAGATGGAAAGAAAGTTCAGGATGTTGAAGCACTTAAAATGAAAGCGGTTGAAACTGCAAACTTACCATTAGCTTCACCATCACTTGAACTACTATCCCCCGATTCAGCATAAGTCGGGCTACCTCGTGGAGAATCTGACACATAATCTTCTGCGCTATCTTCTTCAACATCTTCCAAACGTGCTTTTCCTTTCTTATTAGCATCACTTGTATCAAAATGAAGCTTCCTCTTAAATTGAGCTACTTCTTCATTACTCCTCTATGAGAAATCTACTTGGGCTCGACAATTCAGGTTCATTGTCATCAAATTCATCAAGAATGGGCACAGATTCACTCCTAGAGTTGCACAACCAATCCATGATTGGGTTACCTTCATCATACATAGCAATATCGATCATGATGCTAAACAGATCTCCTTCTCTTTCCTGGGCAGAATGCATACCATCAAGAAGTTGCATGTCATTTTGGAAATGCTGAATGCGCAACTTCAAGTTGTAGTGCACGTAGACCAGCTTATGGATCTTCTCGTATCCCAGCCGATTTCTCACTTTGGTATGCACCAAAGCAAACGTGCTCCAGTTCCGCTCACAGCCACTGGAGGACAGGCATTGTGAAACAAGGCGGCGTGCAAGATTTTGTAGTTCTTTGTGCTCTCCTCCATATGAATCCCACCACTCAGCTACAATATACAACGGAATAGGTATGAAACAGAGGAGCAATAAAAGAAGTACAATGATAATTGAAAATCCAGAGTCAAGGTAAAACCTGCACTCATTCGACCATTAAGTGCTGACCGCCGAGCCTCATCTCCTCCAAACAACCCTCTCTTTGCGATGAAGTTAAATTGTTCAATTGCATTAGAGGCCTCCAACGACGATCTTGCAATCTTCTTGAGGGCTAGTGTTACAGCAAATCTTGAATTGCGTTGCCTTCCCATGTTCGACGTATATAGCACTCTCGGATCAAGTGCAGCAGCTAGGAAAGCAAACAGATGCAATATGTTAAGCATGGAAATCAACATGAATAGAACAATTTTCACTTACAACTATTACCTGCAGTAATAAGAGTTTCGTTGAGAAGATAACGAAGCCTCTTGTTGACTACTTGTAGTACCCTATCACGAAGATTTTGCTTTTGACATAAATTAGCACGTATGTCACCTAAGACTGAAATCATCTTTGGAAGAAATCCAGAAATCGTTGCATTTCTTTGTTGATCAGCAAAGCGAAGTACAATATAGATTGGTTTGACAGCTGTCAACACCAATTCCATGTCCCTCCACCACCTTCTGTTTGTCAAACAATCATATGTGAACGCATGGTCCTCTTCTTCCCTCCACTCACTATTTTTCCACTCATCAGACACCATCTATTTCACAAACTGACGCTGCTTGTCCCAGAAACTTTGAAGGAAGATGAAAACAGTACCAAACCTGGTGTCAACAGTAACATATATATACGGGAAAACTTAGAAGACATCATAACTTGGTCTCGCAAGGATGGAAGTGGTGGACACGCAAAGAGCGGTGGCGTGAGGAGATGCTCGTGCGGGCTGCGTTGGGCGGGCTCGATGGGGTGCAGCGGCTAATAAAGAGGAGGGGTAGAGGGAGGCGAGATCTGGATGCGTGGGCTGAGGGGGGAGAGAGATATATATAGAGAGAGAGAGCAGGGGAAGGAACATCGACCAGTGACTCTCTCCGGCAAGATGCGACGGTGGAAGGAGAGGGCAAATGGAAATGTTGACAGAAGAAATCCGATTGTACCTTCAATTTGAAGAGAGGAGCAGTTCGATGGCCACGATTTAGGGAGGTTGATCTCCGATGGCAGCGGTTGCAGGTGGAGTTGAGGGCTGGCGTCTGGCAGCGGTTTGGAGTGCGGTTGGAGGGCCGGTGGCGCCGCACGTAGTTGAGGGCGGCGACGGGCTGGGTGTGAAGGGGCGCTGACGGATTGGAGATGCGCATGGAGACAGCGACGGCCGACGGTGAACCCGGCTCTCCGTCCCCTCGCCCGACCTTGGAGACGCACGTGGAGACGGCGACCCCGATTCTCCGCCCTGTCGCCCGGAGAAGCGCGTGGAGACGACGGGCTTGCATGGAGACGGCCGACGGCGACTCTGGCGCCTACGAGAGGTGGCGGTTGCGGCGGCAGGGTAGGGCGAGCGCTCGATGGCTGTGGCCTGTGGTCCTGTGGAGACGGAGCGATTGCTCTTTTTCTTTTTTCCTTTTTTTGGATCGCTATTTTCTTTTAACCGCTGCTCCTCGACGTGGGGATCTCAAATTGCAGAGGTTGATCCAACTTCTCACATAAGCCGTTGGATGAATAGGTAATATAAAATAGGTGTTTGATGAACTGGTACTTTTTATATTAGATAGATGTGCATGGTTTTGAAGAGAATCATTTTTATTTTTCTGTTTTCAAGAGGTATAGTCTGATGGTCATTTCATAAAAATCTGCTGATATGATTTTATAAGTGAACATGATCAAATTAGTTTAAATGTACAAGCTGTTATGGAATTAAAAGAAGTAGAAGTTTCTTGGAATGTACATGCTATTAAGAAAATTTAGGGTGAACTAAATCCTTATTCAATCTGTTCCCACTGTATCTAAAATTATTTTTCAACTGTTCATATACACCGTCTGTTTTGTTTAGAGCGGCAACTCACTTTATGCAGTTTATCTGGAATTCAAACCCATCTAAACTACCGATCTGATCCGTGTAATATACAAGAGAGCAGATGTGTGCTATCAAACTTAATTTGACGTGTTCTGTACAATGTGCTATGTTATTCTCTTCGAGATGAAGGTCTTGCTGCAGTGCTTCAGGTACTCGCAAACTGGTAGTCCAAATATTTCTACGTATAGGTCATCCTTATGATGCTTGGATTACTCAAATGAAAAGCATAGGCCACCACAGGGTCCTAACCAATATTGTTTCATATTCGATTGTTAGGAACAATCTGTTCCTCAAATCTAAAAGTTTGCTTGCACCTATTAAGAACATTCGCTCTATTTCTAGCAACAAATGATTAATTTTCCATATGTCCTGTTTGTAGATGTATGCACACTGTATGTAGTCTGCCATTTATATTATGAATTCTCATGTCATTAAATTAATCCTTATGGCAACTTTTTCCCCTGATAAGTAAACATCTATATATGGCTAATAAACCTGCCGCTTGTTACTTCATCCAAATGCATTTGTCCCAAAGATCTGTACATGATTATGTCGATAAACAAAAGAATATGGCCGGTGAGGTTGTTTATTTTATCATAAACAAAAATTGTTGAATAAAACATGCAATAGAGAATAACATGCTTTCTTTACATTTCCAGAATTTACTAATTTAGATCTTTTGGAATTAACAATTATTAAACTGTAGTTGTCCCCATCTTGAACACTTAATGAGTATTTTATCATTTATTCTAAAATTAAAAATTCATATTGGCAAGTTCCAATTGATGTACAATCTATTTTAATCTAGGCTACTATAACACAGTGCTTTTAGCATACAATTGAAATTTTACATTAGGTAATAATAAGCTCGTGCAACGCACAGGTTGGCGACTAGTTAGAGATAATCTTTATACTAACTTGCAGTTGTAGAGGTACCTAATAGCTAAAGGATTTTTCCGCACATCTTTTGTTCTTTCCACTTCTTGAAGTGTGCCAAATAACTTGACAATGACGTTATGCACATACAGCTAAATGGAAGCATCATGATTTTGGTCTACAAGAATGTTGGTGATCTTCAGATTATTCGCAAATAGGCCAGGTATGATCCCTCCATGCAAGAACTGAATTCCCTTGGCAACACCAATGGCTATCGATATTCTTTGCACCCAGGTGAGCTTTCTCCCTTCTGTTCCTTCTGAAAACGAAACTATCAACAAGTTTAGTGACCTTTAGCTAACCCGTAACTGATTATCGGAGACCGATTTCAGGAGAAGATGGTAAACTTACATGAAATTCTGCCTCTCAGGTGCTAACAAAGCAATAAAATCAAATAATTAAGAAAAAAACAATTGATATGAAGCTTGAAAATGACATTTGTTAACTTTATTGCAGATTATGTTCCTCTTAGCTCTCTTTCTTTTGTGACATATATTGCACTCATGAGCCTTGAGTTTATTTGGGAAGTTGGCATACACTTTCATGTCATTTTTATCTGCTTGGCAGAAATTGACTTCTATGGCTTTGTCATCTCAAATGATTGTTTTTTCACGGACTGATGCTTTGTAGTATAGTCTATAGACTAGTATTGTTTTCTGAATTCAGATTTGATTACAGTATGAAAGGACTGCTTTGGACTTATGCTTATGTTTTGGAAGAGATTTCATGTCTTACGATTTGGCAAAGCTTGTTTAACCGACTCAGGGGATAAGAGGGCTGTTGACACAGGAAAGTTGTGTGATGCACAATTAACAGGTGTCGATTTAAATTTAAATTTATGTTCTGCAAACTGGGGCTTAATTCCTAAATTTTGTTGTCTCACAGATGCCTAGGAGGACTATATTGAGGTTGTTGCTGAGTATGGTTGGCTGAGTTGGACGGCTTAATTCCTAAATTTTGTTGTCTCATAGATGCCTAGGAGGACTATATTGAGGTTGTTGCTGAGTATGGTTGGCTGAGTTGGACATTGATTTTTTTGCTGAGTTATTTGTGGGTGGACCTAGTGTGGATTTAGTTAATCTAGTTTGCTGTTGTGGCTGCATTTGTTAAGTTAACCTAGGAGGCTAGGACCTTATTTTGATATCTAGGATATGGTGGAATTGAACATAGTTTGCAATTGTAGCTTGATTTGGTGAAGATGTACTAAACTTGTTATTTTGCTATGGTCTGTACTGATGTGAGATTATATGTGAATGGGCTTCGATTGTATGTGACCGGGCTTTTCCTGTATGTGTTTGGGATGATAAATTGACTTGTGCTATATTGAATGATAATTGGGCTTTTATATATTATGATATATGGGTTGTTATACCTTGAGCTTATATGGGCTTTTGAAATGGGCTTTTGTAATGGGCTGAAATGAGCTTATATGCTTAGCCCATAAACAGATTGCTCCATACGTGGACCTTAACAGCCCATAAGAAATTTTATGACGATTCAGGTTGTCACAATTAACATGCCATATCAGCTCCACGTGGCATTGTACTACAATTTTATGACGTTTGTTGTCCTATGTGGCAGCTGCATAGTCATCCAGGCTTAGTGATTTGTGACGTTTTTTAAGCTAGATAATGACGAATATGAGTGTCACAAACTTATGACGACAGAAAGATCGTCAGCAGATTAATGACCAAAAAATAAGGTTTCATTATAGAACACCATTAGAAACGCGTGATAGGTGACGAATGAATTTTCGTCATGCGAGCGTCACAGATTACGAAACGTGACGAAATTTTATGTGTTTGTGACGTAAACGAAGCGTGCCGCTGTTGATGTGTGCCACACCACCTAACCCCACCATTGTTGCTTTGAGAGAGAGAGAGGAGAGGTGAGGAGTTTGTGAGTGTGTGAGAGAGAGAGAGGAGAGGTGAGGAGTTTGTGAGTCAAAGAGAAAAAGAGAGAGAGGAGTTGAGGAGATAAGGATGAGGAGTAAGAGAAGACTTAGCTTTTCAAAATACTGAGAGGGAGGAGAGGTGGTTGGTCGGCCATATAGGCAGGCCTCTTAATTAATAAGCCCGCCTGTAAAAATAAACCTATGAGGTGTCGGTTCTAAAATTGGTATCCATGTAATTGGATATTGGTGCCACTCAATTGGTTCTGGCTGGGAAACCGGCACCAAAGGGTTTCTCCAGTAGTGTCACTAGTTCCTAATTTACTTGTTATCCAGTCGACTTCATGCATGCATGTAGGAATAATTTCACAAAAAAATCCGTTTGTATTTGTAATGCCCACAAAATAATTCAAATTTTCATACAAAATCGAGTCTTCTTGCTATGGAACTCCAAGAAATTGTGCATGAACCAAATATTTTGAGATTCTGTCACACAAATATAGATGATATTCAGTCAAACACATTTGTGTAATTTTGTTTCGAACATGCACAATATATCCAATGCTGAAATAAATACTACTTCCAAAATTTAATATATATGACGTTGGTAACTACATAAAAAAAGGGAGTATATATGCATTTGTACCATACACATTTACACATATTACTTTTAGAGCATATAGCACGTACATTAGATGGTTTTAACAATCATAGGTTGCAAAGCAAACTTCAGGTCCATAAAAATGAAGTATGAAATATCATTATTCATTGGATCAATAGTAACGTAAAACCTGCGTTAAACCATATTCTATGACATTGGCCTTGTCATAAGCTCGACAACTGCGTTCAAATTACTGGTGGACTCACCCTCTTCGCTCATGTTTGTTTCTGCAAACTCCTTCAACCTTTGCACCCTTTCCTTGATACCCTCATCTAGTAGTAGCTCTTTCAACCTCTCTACCATTATCTCCTTGGTCACGATCCCCTCACCACAGGTTTGCACCATCTTTAGCCCAATCCGCCAAATATCACAAATGTATATTTGATTTGTGAACTGATCGGTGAAATATGGCCAACATAGCATGGGCACTCCATTACGAATGCTCTCTACCGTTGAGTTCCACCCGCAATGCGTTACAAAGCACCCAACTGCAGGGTGCGCTAGCACCTGTTCCTGTGGAGCCCACTCCACCACTATACCCTTTCCTTGTCCCATGGTGGCGTCCAAGAATGAGGTAGGGAGGTTACCAGCAAGTCCAGGCCTAACTACCCATAGAAATGGATGACCAGAAGCCTCTAGCCCTAGTGCAAGTTCCTTTAGTTGTCCTGGGCTCATGATAGTAAGACTGCCAAATGCCACATATACAACAGAACCATAGGGTTGTTCATCAAGGAAAGAGAGGCATGTGTCATCATTGGTTTGCCAAAAGTGCCCAACCACTTCTACCTGATGAGCAAAACGCTGCCCGGTACGAAGTGGTCCAATAGGGAGGATGGTGGCTGGGGATTTTAGAGTAAAGATGGCTGGCTCCAACTCCACGAATGAGTTGCAGAGGAGAATGTCTGCTTTGGCCGCAGCAGCCCGTGCGGAGGAGGTAAGGTAATGGAACACCATACGTTCTGCATCACGGTTGCCCATGAAGTTCCATGCAAGGAAGGTCGCGTCCATGGGTGGCGTGAACTCGGAGAGACGGAATGAGTTGTTCTCTAATTTGAGTGGTGCACCTGCGACATAATGAACAAAATCATATCAGTTTCAGGCATTATCTGAAAAAATCTGAGCTATAAATTTTCATGAAATTACTCAAATCTGAACACAAAAGTTGCTTTGTTTTGACGCTCAATCCGATCTATTTATTGTTATATAAAAATTAAAAGTTTTAAGTAATTGAGTTTCTATAAACAAGATAATCAATTTATTATTTCATTGTTGTTCTTGTAACACTCTGATCCAGACCAAATAAGTGCAGATCAAGGAAACCATAAGGTTAGAATTACTATAATTTAAATTGACATGGTCACATACAAAAATAATGCGGACCGCGTGAGCTCCCGATATGGAACAATTAGTTATGGCCGAAGGGGGTAACAGAATGTGTGCGGGTAAATTAGATTTTCTGCTACTTCTAGTGTAACGCTTGCATAATGGATAACATTGTTACGCTTTTGGAGGGGTGTTAAAAGTAGTCTTTGTTACACCAGTCTGTTAGTCCAACAATTGGTTAGTATGTAGCTATGTACAATTAATACAAATAATGAGAAATAAAAAATAACAGAAAAGATTGATAGTAATAACTAGGACATACATGGAAATTTCAAACAGATAAAGAATACTTGAAAAACAATTACTCCCTCTGTTTCAGGTTATAAGATGTTTTGACTTTGATCAAATTTAAATTGCTTCAAGTTTGACTAAGTTTATAGACAAATATAGTTATATTTACATTACTAAATTAGTTTTATTAAATTAATAATTAAATATATTTTCTAATAAATTTATCTTGGGTTGAAAATATTACTTTTTTTTCTATAAACTTGGTCAAACTTGAAGCAGTTTGACTTTAACCAAAATCAGAACATATTATAACTTGAAATGGAGGGAGTACTTTATAAAAAGCAGGGGTCACTGTGCATGCACCTATATATTACTTATGTGTCAGGACATGATATTAGTTTTATTTCACCTGAGGAAATAAGAGTTATTAATGTTACTAATTTAATTAATTTACTACGACATCCTTTTTCATTTTTTTTTGAATGAAGTACTACCAACATCCTTTTTCATATTGTGGAGCCTCGTTTAGAAAGAAATTTTAAAGTCTAATTTAGGTTACTATACTCTCTATTAAGTCTATTTTCGGTATGAATTCGAAACTCTGTTGTTTTACCACCGGTATAAAACAGTGGTTTGCCTTTTCCGGTAGCGGAAACATCTACTTTTGTGTTTTGTTAACATAGATGCTACAGCTAGCTAGATCTAATATTTTCTTCAGTTGGATATTTTTAGCACGAGAAATCTATATATCTATGTGTGATTACATTAATAACATTTGAAAAAATTATATCTTTTATTATCGTGATAATATAAAATTTTATATAATATAATGCAACTAACAAATTCCAAATCCAACGTGAAATTACAATCCAAATCTATGTAAAAAATGACCTTTAAAAATTATGATAGTTTCATGCATGGTAGTGAAGAAGATAGTGTCACACCCAGAAATTCTCGAACCAGAATTTCTAAGCTGAATGTGCATTAAATCCCTGTCCAGGACCAGCCAGGGTACACAAACGACAATTGTTGACATACAGACCCACGTCTTACAAAAATATAAAAGATTACAAATGCAGCGGGAAAGATTAAAGCGAGCTAAACCGGGAAGCTTGACTTCAGCAGCGGGCGACTCCACTCCACAGGCAAACCTTGACGGCAGCAACGAAACCAACCTCTCTGAGACGGCTCCAACTGAGAAGAACTTCAACTCTGGTGTGGGGGAAATGAGAGAGAGAGCTCGAGTGAGGGTTTTTATGGGCGAGGGAGGGGCGGAAACGGCTGGGGATGGCCCTTATTTGGCCGGCGACGTGAAGAGGTGGAGGAGAGAGAGAGGGTGTTGGGGGATTTCAAATCCCCCACCACTTGCGGGCGCGCGCACGCGGGAGATGCGGGGAGAGGGCGGCGACGTGGGCGCGAGGTGCGGGCGCGGAGTGGAGGCGCGACGTGGAGCGGAGAAAGCGGCGGCGCGGGCGGTTGGAGCTCCGGCTCCAACGACCGGAGGTAGGGGACGACCGACAGGTGGGCCCCACCTGTCGGCGCCCGAAAGAGAAAGGGAGGGAGGGAGGACTTCGGGGAGGGGAAAGGAGGAGCGGGCCGGCCCAGGAAAGGGGTGCCGAGCGCGGGGAGAGAGATGGGCCGACGGCCCATCTAGAGAAAAAGGAAGGAAAAGAAAAGAAAAAGAGGAGAAGGATTTTCCTGGGATTAAATATTGCACTTTGGTGATTTTTAATTGGTTAAAATTATTTCCAAGGCTCTGAAAATTCCACTAAAACTCTTGTTAATGCATTGGAGCATGGGGAACTCAAGAAAAATTCCACCACGCTATTTTCGATTATTAATTGCATTTATTAACTAGGGATTTAGCTCTAGGTTAATTAAGATAATTTCTTCGGGCAATTTATTTAACCAATTTTTAAAGCAAGAAAAGGGGGAAACTTCTGGGCGTGACAAACCTACCCCCCTTAAACGGAATCTCGACCCCGAGATTCGGAAGAGCTGGTGAAGAGGTGCGGGTGGGCAGCCTTCAACTCATCTTCTCTTTCCCAAGTGGCCTCTTCCTCTGAGTGGTGGCTCCACTGAACCTTGCAGAATCTTATTACTTTGTTTCTGGTCCTTCTCTCGCTGGTTTCGAGGATACGAGTCGGCTTCTCCACATACGTAAGATCTTCCTGAATTTCGATGTGATCCGGACTTGCCTGTTCCTCAGGAACTCTCAAACATTTCTTCAACTGAGAGACGTGGAACACGTTGTGGATGCCAAGCATGTTGGAGGGAAGCTCAAGCTGGTAAGCAACTTCACCTCTACATTCCAAGATCCTGTATGGTCCCACAAAGCGTGGTGCCAACTTTCCTTTGGTTTGGAAGCGATGTACTCCCCTGAGCGGAGTGACACAGAGATACACATAATCCCTTGTTTCGAAAACGAGCTCCCTTCTGCGGTTGTCTGCATAGCTTTTCTGCCGTGATTGCGCGATTCTCAATCTTTCCCTGACAGCTCTGACTTTCTCTTCTGCCTCATTTAAAACTTCTGTACCAAACAACTGGCGTTCCCCTGTCTGATCCCAGAAGAGCGGAGTACGACACCTTCGTCCATACAGTGCTTCAAACGGTGCCATCTGCAGACTAGCTTGGTAACTGTTGTTGTAAGAGAACTCAGCATACGACAAGCTTTTGTCCCATGCTCCACCAAAGTCAAACGCACAGGCTCTCAACATATCCTCTAGTATTTGATTGACTCGCTCGGTCTGGCCATCTGTTTGTGGATGGTAAGCAGTGCTGAAATTCAACCGGGTTCCTAATTCTTCTTGTAATTTCTGCCAGAACTTTGAAGTGAATTGACTTCCTCGATCAGACACGATCTTCTTAGGTACACCATGTAAACACATAATTCTTGCCAGATAGAGTTCTGCTAATTTCTTCCCTGAGTAGGTAGTGTGCATTGGAATGAAGTGAGCCACTTTGGTGAGTCGGTCAACGACTACCCAAATAGAATCATGCCCCGATGACGTCCTGGGCAAACCGGTGATGAAATCCATTCCGATTTCTTCCCACTTCCATTCTGGAATCTGAAGTGGCTGTAGCAAACCTGCTGGCCTTTGGTGTTCTGCCTTTACTCGTTGACAGACGTCACAGAGTGCTACGAATTAAGCTATTTCCCTTCTCATGCTGACCCACCAAAACTTCTCTTTGAGGTCTTGGTACATCTTAGTACTACCGGGATGAATGGAATACTGAGTTTGATGAGCCTCGGTTAGTATCAGGTCTTTTAATTCCTTGTTTTCGGGTACACACAATCTTTCTCCCATCCAGATTGTTCCTTGTTCATCCTCAACAAAACCTCGGGCTTTTCCAACTCTCATGTTCTTTTTGAGCTCTGCTATTTCAGGAACACTTGCTTGAGCTATGCGAACCTGCTCTACCAGTGTGGGCTGTGCCTCTAGGGCAACCACGAATCCGTGCTCAACTATACCAAGGTTCAGATGTTCTAAATCGCGTTGAACCTCACAACATAGTTGCTCTACCCATGCAACATTGCAGTAGCTCTTCCTGCTCAAGGCATCTGCAACCACATTAGCCTTGCCGGGATGATAATGTATTCCCATATCATAATCCTTGATCAGCTCCAACCATCTTCGCTGTCTGAGATTCAAATCAGGTTGAGTGAAGATGTACTTTAGACTTTTGTGATCTGTATATACCTCACAACGGTTACCGATGAGATAGTGCCGCCAAATCTTTAAAGCATGAACAACTGCGGCCAATTCCAGATCATGCGTCGGGTAGTTGCCTTCATGAGGACGCAACTACCGTGAAGCATAAGAAACCACTTTGCCATCCTGCATCAACACACATCCTAGCCCCTGGCGAGATGCATCACAATAGACCTGGAAATCTTTCGTCTGATCAGGCAGGATTAAGACTGGTGCAGACACCAACCGTCGTTTGAGTTCTTCAAAACTCCTATTGCATCCAGCAGACCAGATAAACTTTTCTTCCTTCTTCAATAGCTGTGTCATTGGCTTAGCAATTTTAGAGAAGTTCTCAATGAACCGGCGGTAATAGCCCGCAAGTCCTAAGAAACTCCGAACCTGAGTGACTGTCCTTGGTGGGGTCCATTTGGTAACTGACTCCATATTTGCTGGATTCACAGCTACTCCTTGAGCATTCACGATGTGACCGAGAAACTAAACTTCCTTAAGCCAGAAGTCGCACTTGCTGAACTTGGCATATAGCTGGTGCTCTTTTAACTTTTCAAGTACCAGCCGAAGATGCTGCTCATGTTCTTCCTCGGACTTGGAGTAGATAAGTATGTCATCGATGAAAACCACGACAAACTTGTCTAGAAATTCCATAAACACCTTGTTCATCAAATTCATGAAGAAGGCAGGTGCATTAGTGAGTCCGAAAGACATAACTGTGCACCAGCAAAACGCTTGGAAATGAAGGA